TGTTCAAAACCCTTATGTCTATTCAGGTGTCCCAAAAACTGCATTTGTCGTTTCCTGATTGTTTTTAACATTGAGCGTCCCACGTGGGCTTCATCAAGCACTACCTCATTTGATTTCTTTTCCTTCCACGATACTCTTAGCAGTCTCCTAAGAAACCACATTTCTGTTGCCTCTATTTGATTTTCACTGTCTTTAGTGATTGTTCAGCATTCACAGCCATATAGAAGGGTTGACCAAACATAGCATTTCAGGACTTTCATTTTGGTGTTCATTGATATGTTTCTATTTTTCAGGATTGGGCTCATTTTATTGAAACTAGCCATAGCCATTGCAGTTCTCCTTTTTATTTCTGCGGAGGATTTGGCATCAGATGTTATCATATATCCTAGATATTTAAACTGTTGGACTTGTTTGATCTTTTCACCTTTGCTAATGAGATTACAACTAGGATTTGCTGCTTTTTTGGATATTACTATTACCATGCATTCTGTTTTCTTTACATTCAACAATAATCCTTTATGTTCACTTTCTTTTACAACAGTATCTAGAAGCATTTGAAGGTCCTTTTCGGAGCCTGCTATTAAAATCGTGTCATCTGCATACCTGATGTTATTAATATTTTCTCCATTAACTTTGAGGCCTGGACATTCTTCTATGTTTCTAAGGATTGTTTCACTGTACATGTTAAAGAGGTCTGGTGACATAACACATCCTTGCCTCACTCCTCGCCTAATCTGCTTATATTCACTGTATTCTCCATTTATCCCTTCACACAGCTTGCCACAAAAAACATGGCGGGCGCCGCTTTCAAATGTGGCATTCACGCAGCAAGGCGAGAGGGACGTACTGTATATAGTGCCTATAGTGTACATGCACATCTATATGGGCAGACCAAAAAAAATATTGTGTAGAAACTATGGCTACGGCATTTCAAATAGCACGAGAGCTATTCAGAACACGACGTTGCAAATAGCGCCTGCCTATTTTATCACTACAGCCAAATTTACCTGCCTGAGGCGGCGCGCTTTTCCCTTTCATCAACCCGCAGCCACCTCCCGAATCGTCAGCCACCTCCCAACCTTTTGATACGGGTCAAATTTCCATCTATTTATAGGTAGTTACCGGAACATGTATAGGTGAAGTGATGTGTCGTGATAGTCGCGAATATATTATTTATTGAGATTGTTTTGGTCTCTCTTTACTCATCACCACGGGAATTTCTTGCAGTTTTTCCTTGGACTCTCCCTTTACTAAAATCTCGAATCTAGATCTAGATCTAGAGTTGTAATCTAGTGGCAGGTTGCAGATTTCTGTTATCCAGTACATTCAAGAGATTAAACAAATTGGACTAGACTCTAGTTAGTAGTAGACTCTTCTACTTCTACTTCTAAACCTTCGAGATTACAAAGGCCAAGCCTAGGCTTGTAAGGATTCGTTTTATTAAACGTGTTGTTTAACACGAAGTCTAAGAAGTTAGCAAACCTAACACATTTTTTCTAACAAAATGAAGCTTAAATTGACTTTTTTGTCAATAAGATATCAAGTTTAATCACTTAATCATTTAAGTAAGGAAGTGGCTATCACCACCCGGAGTGAGAATAAAAACCCAACGATTGACCTCTTACCCCGGGTGAGACTTGCCAGCGTTGGCTATTCTCACCCAGTGTGAAACAAGACCTGTTTTTCCTAATTTCGAAATACTTTCTATCGGTGTGGATGATCAAATTGACAAAAGCAAAGAAAAAAAGAAATTATAGCACAAAAGTAAGCTAATTTGATCGTCTACAAAGATGCTATGGCTCTTTTACTTTTCGAATCGAGCCGAGCTACGCGGGTAGCCATTTTGTTTTGCTCGGAAGTTTTCGCAAGATCTACTCCTCCTCCTCCTTCTCTCTCTCTCTCTCTCTCTCTCTCTCTCTCTCTCTCTCTCTCTCTCTCTCTCTCTCTCTCTCTCTCTCTCTCTCTCTCTCTCTCGGCAATTTATTAAATCTGCAACCTGCAACTAGATTACAACTAGATCTAGATTCGAGACTTTAGTAAAGGCAGAGTCCAGGGGAAAACATCAATTAAATTCGTGTGGTGCAGATGAGTAAAGAGAGACCAAAACAATCTCTCTATTGCGACTATCATTGCACATCACTTCGCCTAATACATGTTCCGGTTGATTTAACTACCTATAAATTTAAATATAGATGGAAGTTTGACCCTTGTCAAAGGTTGGGAGGTGGCTGACGATTCGGGAGGTGGCTGCGGGTTGACGAAAGGGAAAATCGCTGAGGCGGCCTGGCGTTGGCTCCACCTGCCCGATGCTTCTTTGTCATAAATTTAAAAAATCGGCCACTGACGCTGTGGAAGGGCCTTCATAATTCATTCACGTATCGTTATATTGTTAATACAGTCAAACCTGTGTAAGACGGCCACTAATTGTCAAGGAGAAAAGTGGCCGTATAAGACATGTGGCCGTCTTAGGTAGGACTGATCAAGATGAAGAAAACAAACCATTCCCATCTGAAGTCCCAATCGAAAGTAGTCGCATTGTTGTTGGTTTGTATTTTGTTTGTTATTTTTATTTTGTTGCTGATTTTTCGCAAGGGTGACAATAAATAAGATGAGAAAGACCGAGTGCCATGCTAAAACTAACACATGGGTTGCCACCACTCGGAGAACAAGCGACGCTCCTGTCGCAAGTTCATGTTGACGTTCATTGTTACTTTGTTACAGACTGAGTAAACAGTGACCACTCATCTCACTTACGATTTGTGTATGAGTTCTGGACAGGGCTTATGGGTTATGAGGGATCACCAAGGAGTTTACAGTAGTTCTAAACTCCTTGGGGGTCACATGCTTACCTCACCAACAGCAGAAAATTGGTACATGTACCTGCCTATTGGTCAACAGTGGGAGGGGCCTACGATACATGATCGGTAGTATCGGTTGGAGGGACTACCTAACAACAACGATAGGTGATTGGATTATTTATGACGGCTCGCTCACAACGCCAGGGGCCAATGCACAAATGACAAAACGTACGGAGTCACGAAGGTGGCGTCTACTAAGTCAAAGACAGGTGTTATTGCTTAGTGTGATAGGGGTTGTGTGTTAAAATAATGGTGGCCGCGACCGCGTTGGACAGGTGCCCGTTTTACTCAGTTAAATTATAATAGAAAAAACGCAAGGGGGGATATGGAAAGTGGCCGTAGTTAGCCCCTCCAATGAATGTTTACCCAAAATAACCAATGGGTAGCAATACATTTTTAACTGCTGGTGAGGGAAGCGTGAGATCCATCATAATCTATTAACCCCGCCCACAACTCATACATTTTGTACTTAAGGGGGGGGCTACACCCCCAAAATCAAAATTCGGCTCAAAATCATGGAATTTGAGTTGTAGGTATTTTTAGCTTCCTCAGCTTTTCCTA